TCAACGACGTTCGGTGTCGAAAAAAATGCCCGCACTGAATATGAATCTTGGCTCCGCCCATGTTTAGCAGCTTCGACTTTCTTGCCAAAATTATTAACATTAGATCTTAGCTTCTTCAACTCTGCATTCACTTCTTATAAATTTTTGGCGAACTCCATATTCCTCTTCTGGAGTCGCCTCATCTCCATTTAGGCTAATATATGGAAGCCCATACACGAGCCTACAAGACGAGCCTTGCTTCCGTCAAGTCAATCGAGTCACAAGACTCGGCATAGAAAACATATTTATTTATCCAATTCTTATGGTAAAATCTTGTAGTTGCCTGAAGATCAACAAGAAGTAAGGCATAAGATGTTAGGTCCAACTCATTCGTGCGATCCCCTAAGAAGTTTTGAGCCTTATCTTCAATGGGACCCTCCCTAGAAACCTTTTTATCCCACTTGTGATTAGAGCTCATCGGGATACTTTATTTTTTTTTGCAAAAATTCGGATAGCAATAATAGCCTCTTCCCCGACTCATCTAGGGCCATTTGGTAAGTAGGCTATAGTGGAGGGTTGGAAGGCTTAGTGATGGTTATTTTCCTTTCGGAAGGCCTCTTCTGCTAGGACTTAACCTTTTTCTTTTCTTTCTTATCAGTAGGAGAAGATAGGGGTTCGACTTAGAAATTCGGACAAGCTCGTCCCATTAGTCAGTAGACCAAAGTGTTGATGTTGAGGGCTTGACCCTTATAGTTGAATTTCCTCAAATGGAACATATCTGGCTTCACATATTCATTTTTCTCATATTGGTCTACAATAAAGTGGCAAAGTATTAGTACTTAATGAAAAAAAATCAAAGAAATGGTAATTTGATGAAACGTATCAAGGTAGTACCTTTTGAAGCCATCGACCCATGATTTACAAAGAATGTTCGTTTGGGGATAATGTTTTCAAAATTACGATCCTAGATTGGTAGCTCGTATATGGAACAAATTGTTGCCCATTCAGCAGGTTCTAACTTGAACCTTTCGACTGCAGTTGTAACAAGATGAAGTTAGTAAAAATTCTAAGTATAAGACTCAAAATAACGTGCTTCAGATCAGAACTCACTATATTCGATATTATGTTGGCACAATCATCTCAGGGACCACATCACCCTCCACCATCTGCTATCTATCCCTGGCAAGAAACCAAGACACTATCCAATTCTTGATGGAGGATAAAGTGCCCAAGATGGTGGGCGCGAAAGTCCCATGGGTTTATGCAATACCATCCCTTGAAGTCCTCCCTCCACTAGAGGCTCGGGATTGAAAGAGAGTCTGCAATACATGAATTGGTATATTCCCGCAAAGAGTGACATCCTTCTAGAAAACGAAGGCACCTGCCAATTAGCCTTATACGTTTGGAAGTCGTTGGGTGAGAGAAGGATGTACCTAAAGAATCGCCTCACTATCGAGAACACAACCCTCCTTAGGGAAGTAGGCTCGCTCGTCAGGATGAGGCACAAGGAGCTCTATAGTATCTGGGGGATAAAGAAGTCTCTAAATTTAACCACTTCTTTCTCTGTCACTTTAGAAGGTACGTTGGCATTAACAATCTTAAAAACCCGTAAGTCCCCAATTTTAAAAGAATTCCTGCCAAGATGACGGATCTTGCCAAAAATAATTGATCAAGAAGTTGGTCAACTTTCGTATGAAAGAAGATAAAAAAAAAAACAAGAGTTCACATTAAGGGCGTAACGAAGATATACGAGAGGAATAAATAAAAAACTTACGATTGGTGTAGAAGGGAACATTTTTTTTATGATATAATTCAAGAAAAAGCCATCTCATGCTAAAATCTATTACCCTCTCCTATATGTTCCAGGCACTATAGAGTCCCCGTTGCCTCCTTCATCCTATCCGTGGGTATGATATCTGGAAGACCTGCCTCAGCACAGATCATCCTCATATCTATCCCTCTAAACGAATCCCTAACGTTGGTGATCTTAGAGCTTGAAACCATCAATAATATCTTTGAAAGTTGAGAAAAAGTGGAAAGAGAGGAATAAGAGTTCCCAGGTTAAAAACTTCACCTAAAATTAGAGTTCGAACAGAGATGCTATGAGTAATTTCTGGTTTACAGTTGACAATGGATACGTAAGCGGCTTCCAATTGCTCGGAAATTCTAAACTATATGGGGTGCTTGGATCGTGAACAAATACAATTGATCAAGAAGTTGGTCAACTTTCGTATGAAAGAAGATAAAAAAAAAAACAAGAGTTCACATTAAGGGCGTAACGAAGATATACGAGAGGAATAAATAAAAAACTTACGATTGGTGTAGAAGGGAACATTTTTTTTATGATATAATTCAAGAAAAAGCCATCTCATGCTAAAATCTATTACCCTCTCCTATATGTTCCAGGCACTATAGAGTCCCCGTTGCCTCCTTCATCCTATCCGTGGGTATGATATCTGGAAGACCTGCCTCAGCACAGATCATCCTCATATCTATCCCTCTAAACGAATCCCTAACGTTGGTGATCTTAGAGCTTGAAACCATCAATAATATCTTTGAAAGTTGAGAAAAAGTGGAAAGAGAGGAATAAGAGTTCCCAGGTTAAAAACTTCACCTAAAATTAGAGTTCGAACAGAGATGCTATGAGTAATTTCTGGTTTACAGTTGACAATGGATGAAAAATACAAAGATTTCAAAGAATGAGTGTTTTCAAAATTTTCAAATGTGAAAAAAGTGAATAAATGACAAAGGATCCTGTTTTATAGGTGGAGGGAACGAACCATCACAGTTGGATAAAAAATGATCGATCTAGGACATCCATCTGTACTCCGGATCTAAAACGTTGAGGGCAAAAAGACGCCTTTCCAAATTTTAATGAAGGGTCATGATTGATGCGTAATGAACACGTACCCGATAAGGTGCATCCCCTTGGACAGTAATACTTCAACTCATCATTGTGCATTTAATGCACATGTAATGCATGTCTTGAAACACACAATGCCTTACCACTTTTTATTGGGAAGAGCGTCCTATCAATGTCTGGTCGTACCAATGCCTCTCCTCTGCCTCTACTGAGTTCAACCATCACCGCCTCTTCATGTTATCGAAGGCTACTTCTTCACCAACAAGCTCGCCCTCATGAAATGGCCTCGCCTAAGTTCAATTCAGCCTCATTAAAGGCAACCTCTTCACCAACAGGCTTGCTCTCATGTAAGTGCCTCACCTCAAATTTAAGTACGTACACTATCATGGAAAATCTACGTACATTATACATTTTAAGTCTACATATTATATAAATATCCAAGCTTCAACTTGATGGACTATTGTGCCGCGTTACCCCTTTGCATCCAAAGACGAAAAAGTTATCGACAATACTTTTATACTTGATGTATTGCTTCATATTATGAATAGTGAAGTATAAAAAAATTCGTTGAATCATATCAATCGAAGTAATGATTGACCAAAATAAAAGAACACAATCCTATAAAAATTGAACTTACTAGAGAAATCTGAAGTTTCTATACCTATTGTATGAATACCTAAAAATGTATACTTTTGTGAAAAATAAATATGAAAAGTAAATCTGTAACATGTAATGTACGACTCTCAAATTAATAAATTTCGCAACGACTGTGGTGGATACAATCACAACTGCATATCTTGTTATCTTGATAATACATGAAATTTGAAACGATTGTAGCCAACTTATCTTACATTACTATTAATGTTATCCTTGTATGATTTAACATGCTAAAAAATATAATTCAAGGGGTAATATCATGAGGGGGAGTAATTACTTGTTGTACTCTTTTTTCTTGACTAAAATTTTGACCCATTGATTTTTCCTAGCGAAACTTTTAATGAGACAATTTTTGCAGTGTATTTAAAGAAATAATGTATTATTTTTTTAGTTAGGATTTTTTACACATGATTTTTTTCTATTAAGATTTTGACGAGTTATATTCTTTGTGTAATGAATGCCTATAATTTATAAGATATTTACCCTCAACATAATACTCGTATAAGTTATAAATTGTGTATGAGACTCTTGAAGTAACAACAAGATCTATTTTCCGAAGAACCATTATGCTGGCTAAAAAGTCAAACAAATATAGATAAATATTTTGTATGAAGAAGGAATTACTTGAAAGCTATAACAAGACAAAATGAAACATTCTTCACTAGAATTGAGATATTGAAGATATTGGCGTACACGATATGGATAACTTGATACAATGATTTTATTTAATGAAATAAGTGGAGTAGATGTATTCTTTTTCATTCATTCAAGTTTTGTTATAATTTTCTTGACAAAAATTTAAATGAGATATCATTTTATTACTCCAATTTTGTTATAATTATTTGTACATTTGTTTCTTTGGTATTTTTGTCCGACTGAGTTTTTGTCAAACTAAGTTTTGAACAAGGTAATAATTAGTTGTTCAAATAATCATTAAAGGGGGAGTGATGTAAAATTGTAGAATAATTATTGATGATTTTCCGGTCTTGTTAGAATACTTACATAACGATATGTGCTCTAGAGGTGTCTATTCTACTATGTTTGTGACTCATTTTGAATCATATAAATATGAGTTCTTAATTCTTAATAAAACATACACTTGAATTTTGACTCTTTCTCTATTTCTTTTTTATTTTTTCTCTTGTTCTTTAAATTTTATAATATTAAAAAGAATTTTTATTTTACGAAAGCACAAGTTTTTGTGGTCAAACAAATGTATACATCTTGGAACCTCAAAAATGTTCTCCTGTCCGCGGCGGACAATCTTATCCTGTCCACCTGTTGATATGGCAGGAGAACCCTATGTGGGGTTCTCTCCAAATGTGAGAATACCACGTTGGGTTCACTCCGAGTGGGTAGGATAAGATTGCCCGCCGTGGACAGACTTGTCCGTCGCGGGCAGGAGGACGGGACTGCTTGGAACCTTTTATTACTTGTCCAGAAGAGAGAATGAAAATTTGCCGAAACATCCTTGGAAATTGGGACGTCGAAGTCATCTACAATGATGTGGAAAGGACCCAACAGGAAGTCAAACCAGAAACTCAAAATTCTTGATTCTGGAAGTCTTGTGCAGAAATTTCGGCGTAATTAAGAAAAGTTGAATGTGTATTCCCATACTCCTTCCAGTTTCCAAATTTCTATTTGTTCATACTATTGACTCGAAATTTCCATACCCCGGAACGTAAGAACCGGAGCCATAGCTTACCATTCAAGTCTTGCGGAAAGCTAAGTAATTTGCCCTTAAAAGCTTAAGACAATTTCCACACCACCTCACTATATATAGCTAACGTTTAACAGCATTGCTACCACAAGTAGATTATGGTATATCAGTAACAGTTTGCACATTAAGTTGGAAAAATACCCGTCACAAAGCCCCAAAAAAAAAGAGAAGTTTATTAAAAGAGATGGTTAGGTTTTTAAGTAACGTTGTTTTTGGTGCTATTTTTGCAGCTATGGTGCAATACATAGGTGCTCAAACTGTGCACATTGTTGGAGATAGCCTGGGTTGGGAAATACCCCCAAATAACTCAGTCTCATACACCAATTGGGCTGCAGGCAAATCCTTCATGGTTGGCGACATCCTAGGTAATTCCCTAAGTTTCCTTTCAAATATCAGTATAATTCTTGCTAATTTATATTTGCAACGTATTCTTGATCAATAATTTGTGATTTTGTGTATTTACGACACAATCATGATGTAGTCTTATATTTTACCTGTTTTTCAGTGTTTAACTTCATGACCAACCAACACGACCTCCTCCGAGTACCAAAAGCCTCCTACGATGGATGCAGCGATGACAATGCCATAGGCAGTGCCATCACAACTGGACCTGCAAACGTGACTCTCGACTCTGCAGGCGAGCACTACTACATTTGCACCTTCGGCAGACATTGCCAAGCGGGCCAGAAGCTAGCCATAACAGTCTCAGGAACGCCAGGGGCCAACCCGCCAACTTCCAGCCCACCAACCACTCCTACAACCCCTTCTCCCACCTCGAGTCAGCCTGATGCATGTGCACCAACTCCATCTTCAGCTCCAAATGCTGGTGAGCCTGTGGCGGCACCTCCACCTGCTGGAACCCCTCCTCCACCTTATTCTTCCTCAACATTTGTGTTTACGAGCTTCTTACCAGCTCTGCTGTCCATTGGAGCGGCTTTAGTTATTTAAGAAGGAAATAGGATGAGGAAGGAATTAAGTTTCATATATAATTGCTTTTATACCGATCAAATAAACCGTGATTCGATTTCTTTTTGCATTTCAATTTTATATTTACTTTACTGATTTAGATAATGAGATAAATAAATTTATTGGGGACATTTTCAGTATTCTTGAGTACCTCTCACCCCAGCAAATGGGGAACACAGGCAAAGTTTGTTGTCTCTAGTTTACCTTTTATATCTTATTATTCAATACAGTTATTGCTTGTTTGCAATTATGTTGTATTACTTAAAACAATATTTATCAAGTTAATAAGATAAAATACCTTTATTTTATCGTGCGTTTTTCGTATATTAATAAACAATTGTGGTACATGTACATCACAACTTATAGCTTGATTTACTAACAAATAATGTGATGAGATTTGATTGAGTCAAAATCTTATCAATCAAACAATAAAAAAAAATTCTTCACTATCTTTTTGATATTTCGTCAATATATAAAAGATTATGTAAATGATGATGTACAATGATCATTTTTATGAATAAATGATATTCAACATTAATTTGATAAACATTTTATTTTTAAATTTTTGAGGGGGAGGGGTGGGGGGTGGGGAAGAGATGATATATACTAAAAATGTACTTTATTCAACCCAACTAGAGCCAAAATTTAATTAAATGATGACTAAATAAAATATACATAAAAATATACTCTTTTAGTCCTATAAAAATAGAAGTATTACTTTTCTTGATGATAGTATAGTTAATTTTTAATTTGTCCGTATTTAATATGTTTTGTTATCAAGAAATATGAAATATCAATATTCAATATAAGGGTATATTAGGAAAAAAACGTACGCAAAATTTATAGCTCCAAATATACTAATTAAATTTTTTTTAATATGTGTGAAAATGAGAACAAATTTAGTCTCTGTTTGGCCCCCATTTTTCTAAAAATTCATTTTTTTCAAAACTCATTTTCTACCACACGTTCTTTCATAAAATGATTTCATACGTAAACCTAAAACTTTTCCTTTTTTTCTTAACCATACTTTCTCCAAAAATATCATTATTTCAAAACACTTCTTTTGTAAAAATTAGGACTCAAACAGGAGTTTATTTTTATGGGACGAAGAAAATATAATAATTTGAATATAGATGTAAAAATTTGTCATACTCGCAACTGTACCTTGGATTTCGTACCGGAGGACTTTCCCAAAAGCTTTATTTACTCCAATCTCGGAAACCTCCTATCCTAAGGCAACCATTTAGAATGTATAACCTTGAATCCATTAACAATATTTGGTGATGAGGCATTTTCTCAATAGATCTCTCTCTCCCAAGTTTTACATTTCCCTACTATGTTGGCTAAAGGCATTTAACTTATTTTTGGTTTTTGATAGCAACCATGATCTCTTGTCCACAGTGAACGTGATAGTAATGTTATCTTTCCACATCAGTAGTGAGAAGTTTTTATATTGCTCGTATATTAGCATATCTGGAGTTGCAAAATCTGTAATGGATGTATTATCTATGATGATAGAAGTAGTGGTCGCTCATGATGGAAGTAATGATCACCATGCGACCAAGTGATCATATAAGTTCACTATCAGTAAGAAGCTACAACGTCTTGATTGGAATGGATAAAATTGACCTAGATGCTGTTATTGACACACTAAAAGTACAGCCCAAAGTGAATAGCCCAAAGAGTTAAGCCCAATTGGAGAGTCCAGGATAAAAGCCCTAATAAGGTTATTGGTGAATACAGAGGAAGCCCACGAACATAGTAACATCATCACCCAAGCCTACAAGACGCCTAGAATTTGAGCAAATGGAGTGCTTTACGGTCGCCTAGAGCGACGACCTCGTTCTTGCCCGAACTTTCGAGCCGCCCAGAATCTTAATATATGAGATATTATGGTCATCCAGAAGAGCAGCTACTGAAACAATTATCGAGCAGATTATCACGTTCTAAGATTTAAAGAGCCCATTTGAAGGCATATCGAGCCGATTATCACATTTCACAATTTAAGGAGCTCATTTGAAGGCAGTTGAATAACAAAGAGCAGTGGCAGCAGTTAGAGATGGCAGTTCCATGACAAGTTAGCCACCATGAAGAAAGTGGGTAGTTAGAAAGTAATTAAGTAGTTTTCAAGCGGTTTGTCATGAAGAAATCATCATGGGAATATAAAAGAAAGAATGGACATAGAGGAAAAGATCCTAAATTAAACACTCTCAAATAGAGAATATGTAATTTCAATTTCTTAGATTAACTTTAATTATACCTTTTCAGTACTCGTGTGCTTACGCCCCTTAGAGGTATTCTGTTTATTTTCAATTGTAACTCTCATCAATAAAGCACCCCTTTTTGGGACTTTTTTCAAAAGGTTTGTCCCTTACACAATCGTCTGAATTTCTTTTTCAATTGTTAGTGAGAACCCGCGTGAAACAATTTGGCACGCCCAGTGGGACATTGGTGTTTAGTGTTGAAGATACAAAAAGTGAAGCATTATACCTCATAAACATTTTGATAAGGAACCAGTAAGTTAGGGAGTAGTCCAGTTTATAATCGAGTGATATGAGGAGTAGAAAAACTCTCCACAAACTGAGGGACACAGTCAAAGCAGTCATAGTCGTTACGAACCAATGACAGAGTTGAGTCCTCGAATCATGCGTGCATTGCTCGGCGAACTCACACAGGATGTCGTTGAACAGGTAAATCTACGAAATGATCATAATATGGAAAGATTTACCCAAAGTAGAAATGCACATTATGATAATATGGCCAAACAATTGAATACTTTAAATGAGATAATGAACAAGTTAGTAGGCCAAATGTGTCGGCCAGTTATGCCTTGTAAACCACTTTCAAACCAGGACAATTGTGGGACATAATTCACCATATAATTCTTCTGGTTTGAACTTAATCAAGGACTAGACCCACCCTTTGGTCCATCTACTTCAAACTAGGGGGGTAGTGGGATGCCAGATTTGAATGGTGGTAATGGGATTATCAACCTCGGAGGTAATTCAATTATAAGAGATAATGTCCTGAATGATAGACAGAACGCCCCGTTTATTAATGATGGTTTGAACATTCAGTTTAATGGTAATAACGGCCCAAACATTGTCAATTTTATTGCCAACCAAGGACCAAATGTTAGGCCTCAAGCGAATCAACCATTAAACTAACCCATAGGAATTCCATATGATCCTAATGCCATGTTGAGGAATCAAATCATGGAGATAGTACATGATCAAATGACTCTTGGGTTACGTCCTGTCATCAGGCCTACTTACACGAAGCCATACCCTGATTGGGTAGATCAAGCATATCCATGGCTTAGAGGATACAAAGTGCCAGAATTTTCATTATTCACTAGTTTAGGGGAAGTATCTACTCTAGAACACATAGGTCTATTCACATTGCAGAGTGGTGAAGTAACCGACTACCATAAAATGAGGTTGTTCCCTAGTTCATTAGCAAGAGTAGCATTCTCTTGGTTCGTTAACTTGCCAGCAAACTCTGTTCAAACATGACAACAATTAGAACATTTTTTTCATGGTCAGTTTTAAAAGACTGAATCTGAAGTTACTTTGACCGATTTGACGAATCTACATCAAATGCCAAATGAATGGGTAGAAAGTTCTTTCAAAGGTTCAAAATAGCAAGAATTAAGTGTTTTGTACCTTTGCCTGAAAAGAAATTTTTCAAAATCACTCAAATATGTCTAAGCTTCGATCTAAAAAAGAAATTCCAGGACAGAGAATTTCCAGATCTTTTCCAATTGAGCGCAAACGTGATTAGGTATGAACGATTAATAAGGAAGAAGAGCAAATGAAAAATTCTAGCAAGGATACTTATTATAAAGACCTAAATTTTGATGTTCATATGTTTGGCCGAATTAATCAAAGGAGATGCATATACTTGTCCTATAATGGTTAAGCCTACAGTATCGGGGAAAGATGAGCCTATAAAAGATGAAGGCAAAAAGGTTAGAACGTTTTCGTTTGATGTAACCAAAGCTAATCTTATATTTAATAAATTATATAAGGATAAACAGATAAAGCTGAACGATAAACATAAGTTGCCAAGCCCTGAACAAATTAAGGGTAAAAAATATTGTAAGTGGCATAATGTATGGTCACATTTGACTAACAACTATTTGGTTTTCCGTCATGTGTTACAGGATGCCATCGAATCAGGACGAATTACGTTTGAAGAAAAGAAGAAGATGGTAGTGGTTGAGAACCCTTTCCACAACCACTTGGAGTAAACATGGTGTCGACTGGTTTTAAAAATAAGTTGCCAAAATTCAAATTGGTCATAGATGACGGAGAAGAGGACTCTAGGCCACTCTCCAATGTTTTCGAACGCATCAAAGGGAAGAAACCCAAGCAGGATGAAGATGTCCTATGTACAATATGTAAAGGAGAAGTGAGTGCAAAAAAAGGGAGCTCAGGAACAGGGACTTCGTCACCATCGCTCTGATTTTGTTCCAAATGTGCAGCCAGTTAGAAGGCGAGGTACATCATTCTATAGAGGTCCGCCTTTTGAGAGGCCGTTCAGGCTAATGAATAATGTAAGGACATTTAGGCCGCAACCTCGTCAACCAAATGTATGGCATTCATTCCAGTATAATGCAGGAAGGGTGACACCCTTCAATAAGATGACTAGAACCCAACAAAGGCGTTTTCAACGGAATTATGGATGAATGATGAGGCAACAACAGGAATTGACACGTACTAAGGTGCCTAAGGTACTCGAGGTGGCCAATCAAATGTCCTCGAAGATAGTGAAGAGATTGGTACAGGCGAATCGATGGGAGAACTGCCAGAAAGTTCTTCTGGGAGATTGAAATTTGAGCAAGACAAATGGGATAAGAAGATCTAGATCAGCCCCTTACTATTTAGTTTGGTACGTTACCTCCCATCATGGCTAATAATTATTTACTAGCCAACGAATTCAAAAACAAAGAGAAAGAAGAAGAAAGAGAGGATAACAAA